ACACAAGGGGGTCGCAGAAGGCTTTTCAAGCACTCAAGAAGCAGGAAATCACTTTGTGGTGCATGTGCTCGTCAGTGATGTGTGCCATGGAAATTTCTGGTTTATTTAGAATACCACTGTTAGTGCAGTTGTGCCTCAACTTCACAATCCAAAACCAAAAGCCATTCGTCAGCCAGCACCAAAAAGGAATTGTCACCACGAGCAATAACATGTATAAACACTGTTATGAAACAAACTTCATTATTGGTTTTAAGTGAACAGAAACATCCTGTTCTGTGTTAAACGTATTGTAACTACCTGTTCATTCACGTGTTTACATTTAGCATGCAGCATTCAAGCTTTATGAGCATGCTCCACACCTTGTTTCCTGTTTTTGATGCATTTGTGTGGCAGCAGTACAACACCATATTCAGACCTGGAATAGTTACAGGGGTATTTGGCGTCATATTGGTAAGAATGAAGATATTTCTACAAATAAAGTGTTAAAGAAGAATATTATAGAAATGACATATACAACAATTATATTGGAAAAACTACTTATTTGGGGGGCTGAGGCCTGAGTGGGGCCAAAGTCAAACTGAATTGCTGCTGCCTTAAAACATATCCAGTCTCAAAAATTGATAGTGGTTCAAGAAAATGCTATTTTATGACACTTCATATCAGTTTTATATTACACTATTATTCCAGCTATAATGTTGCTGCAGAAAGTGCACCAGAAGTGGTACAGTTGCTTGTTGCTGCTGTTATTTGCTTCTTTCTTTCTGGGTCACTGGTGTCCATATTCAGCAGTCATTGTGTGAGAGGTGGGGACGCCCTGGACAGATCCATCAGAAAGACACATAGAGACAAACGAGACAAACAACTATTCACTCTCTCATTCACACCTAGGGACAATTGAGTTACCGATCAGCCTAACGTGCATGTTTTTGGTCTGTGGGAGGAAACCGGAGTACCTGGAAAACTCACACATGTACGGAATAGAACATGCAAACTCCACCCAGAAAGGCTCCTGACTGGAATTCAAACTGGCAACCTTCTCGCTGAAAGGCAACATCTCTACCAACTGTTCCACCGTGCCACCATGCTCATAAATATTTATGTAATTCTATATAAATAATTACTGTATTTTCTGGCATATAAGTCACAGTTGTTTGCATAGATTTGCCAGTCCTGCGACTTATAAACTTTTTCCATATTCATGACGCAATTTTTGACTGACGCTGAGTACAAAATTTCGTTCCACCTCATGCACCACATGTGCTGCGAATGACAATAAACTTGACTTGAACTTGAACTTAAAGAGGGCAGCCGTTCACTTTAGTTTCAGCTTTTGTCAGACTAGCCATTAGCTCACCGTTCTGTTCAGAAATAAACTTTACTTCACCAAGCCATTTAAACAGCTTACGACAACAGGTAAGATGATGATTGTTCATAACTTTTCCACAAAACTGCACTTCAGAAAATCTGAACTATTGTTTTAAGTTGCCAAAAAAAAACAAACAGCCACTTTAACTATTGTTTTAGTTAGAACATGTTATGTACCACAGCCCAACCTCTGATCTGATTTACTGAGCTTTGTCTGTTTAGCTACAGTTATTATTTAATTTAGTTTAGTTTAGTTTAGTTTAGTTACAGCTACCACGCCATGACATCAGAGAAGTTTTGACAAGCTGACTGGACACCTGACTCTGCACGACTACAGTGTGATGATAAGACTCAACAGCAGAAACTCAGGATGTATATTATAACAAACAGGAACAAAACTGAAGCTGATTATTAGTTTCAGTTACGTAACAGAGTCGGTGTAGTAGCTGTGTGTTTTAAGCCGTCTGCAAAATAACAGAGGCCACCTACTCCCCTGTGTAATCCAAGTTTACTGAATGTGAATGAGTGAAAGTCACATGTTTGCACAATCAGACAGAGCGAGACGATTCTGTTTCACAAAGTTTACAGGATTCCTATTTTTAGAGTCAACAGCTGTTTCCTCCCACGAGAATGCAGCGTTTTATTGTCAAAAATAGCATCAGTTCCCCTGATGTGGGATCGTGTTCGACCCTGAGGGACAGTTTTAAGAACGAACTCTAAATACAGAGAACTTCCACCTGAAAGAGTGCGAGTGAAAGTGGATTTAGTGTGTGGCAGACGGGAAGACACTCGGGATTTGGGAGCACACATGAGTGAACTGTAGAGTCTTTAGGGTCCAAATCAGACAAACCACAAACGTGGTTAAAAGATAAGAGCTGCCTGCACCCTCCCATGACTTAAAGGTGAGATGATCTCCTGCCTGGCTGAGGATAAGATCTGAAATATGTCCAGATGCAATCCACTAGTTTCAATAAAACCTTTAGACCTACCAGTTTTATTTTATGTGTGATTGCAGATAGCACAGGACGTTAGATGAGTGAGAAATCTACTTTCTGCTTGCATGAACACCAAAACAAAGAGGGGTGACAACTGCATCCTAACAGCGTGATTAATAACACGGCGAACTGTACAGAATGGGGTCAAATAAAAAGAGTCCTTCTCTCTCCATCTTTGTATGCAGCATCTGGAAGTGCATGTTCGATGAATCGGTGGCAGACACGCAAGTCCCTCCGGAGTTGAAATGCACGCAACCTCCCCAGTACAAAGAGACAAACAGTGGTAAGAGTTGGGACACGAGAGGACAGATCGAGGAGCACAGCTTGTCTGTTGGATGTGTGATGACTGCACAGCATGCTGGCTGCCTATAAATATGACCGAGACATGCTGACAATTAACACGTGACAGCCGTCCTGACTTTTGATAGGCTCAAAATAAAACGCAAGCCAGACACGAGACGAGACTGAAGTTTTAATTGAGTCATGTTAAATGTTTAATAAGAAATAAATATGTTAAATGCTTTTTTATCATAAAAAACACAGCTGTTTGTTGCAAGAAGCTGTGCTGTAAGAGGAGCTCATCAATTACTCGGCTGGCATCAAAAGGCAGGAGGACCCTTCACTTCATCTGGAGTTTGTGTCTCGATGACTAAAGAGAGCAAAGTAGGCCCACGAAGAACAGTGAAGTAACCAAAGTAACCGGATCTGTGAATAGAAACACTCCAAGTGATTGATCACATCTTTTGGAGCGAGCTTCTATTTAATATGATCTTACTTGTTGCAGATAGCTCTTTGAGCAGCCATGGTTTGGAGACAAAGAGACCACTTGTGGCCAGAACTGGTCCAAACTTCAATATCAAAAATTTCATAATGGTTTGTGTTAGGGCTGTTTTGCAAACATGTTAATTTTATTACAATGTTTTTCCAAGCTCGATTATTATAATATGCTCATTAGAAATGACCCCGGCTGCACAGGAAGTGCTACAACTAGCTGCTGCTGCGACTGTTCAAATCGCAAATAAGCAAAGAATTTTGGTGAAATACCTGTAAAACAAAATTGTTGACAATGTAAAAGTTGGTAAGAGTTTAAATGACTTTTTTTGAGACTGGGGTTGTTTTAGGAAAGCAGTAGTCTTCTACAGTCTAGACCAGTGGTTCTCAAACTGGGGTCCCCGGAGCCCAGGGGGTCAGTCAGCTGGTGCTTGTTAATAACAAACCATGAAAATACACAAAAACGCAGGAAATCACATTTGCTTTATTCAAAAATGTCTGGGGGAGGACCCCTAGACCCCACCATCCACCCGCTATTTGCGTTCCAGCATCGATCAGTTTACAGATTAAATCCTGTTACTGATATGACTACTGCTGTTATGATTCTGTTCAGTTTTATGTAGAGTTTTCTGTAATATTTTGAAGAAGTGTCAACACATTTATACATTTATTTTCATTTTGTGAGTAGGTCAAGTTTTAAAGTGGTTTTTGATGCTGTTAATTTTCTCAAAACTGTCATTTTTGAATATTGAAATTAGAAATGTTGTTAATTAAGTGTGTCTTGAATGAAAAATACCCCGTGCTTAAAAGTATAAAAATTGTATTAACCCTATTAAAGAACAGGTCTTAAGTATTTGTGCCACACAAATATTTCCATTGCATTAAAGAGACAAATGGAAGAAAATTATTTAATAAACATGAGGGTTTTGAGAGGTCCATGAACCCCAAAAGTTTGAGAACCCCCTGGTCGAGACCACACGGCATGAAAAACAGAATCAGTAATTTATTGTTTCCTTCTTTAAAAATGTATTCATGGATTATTGCAATAAAAATGCCAACGCTATATAGTCATTTAACTAAAATGTTTTATTTAATAAAACCCAGCATTCCTAAAAAAAAAATCACCTTTCATGCTATAGTTTAAATAAAGGTCAGTTTATGTCAAGTAGCTGTTTTGGTCAAATCTTGAAAATGAGCTCCATCGTTCTGTTAGCACTCAGATCATAAGGTGGAGACTTACATCTACCGCCACATGAAACTTCATCTCAGTATCTGTAAACCTGTCTGAGCTGTAGACATTTTTGTGTTTGCTAAGAACCATGAGCTGTGGCAGCCAATCACCAAAAATAAATCAGTTGCAGACATTTACTAATAATTGGTTTCTTTGGTGTTATTTATTTTTGCTGAGCATTTGATACTTTGCTAACAGACAGATAAATGAACACACACCACCAAGAGCAAAAACATTACGTCTGGTTTTTGACCTTTTGGTGTCGGGCAATGATAATTCATAAAAAAATAATTTGTAATGATAGCTGTTTACACAGTAATACATGAACATGTTGGACGTTAAACTGATGTTTTCACAGTCTGTACGATAGTATATTTCAATTGTAATATTCAATGTTTGATTTTTGTTGTGACGTTTATTAATTGGGTGTACGGTGTCATCACATCGCTCACACATGCTCTCTCCTGACACTTTCTGCAGGGACTGGATTCACGCACAGAGCGCCCACCCTGCTGCCTAAATGAAGCACTAAAATGCAGCCTGGCCAGGGATCAAGCTGTGAGAGGTCTTGATCACAGACTCAGTCTCCAGGCCTGCCCTTCAGCTCAAGCTCTGCAGCTGGAAGGGATGTCAAGAGCATGAGTGTGCTCAACCGCTACAGCATCGTGTCGTCCGAGGAAGAGGGGCTCCGCCTCACTACCATGCATGGCATGAACGGCTTTGGCAATGGCAAGATCCACACACGCCGAAAGTGCCGCAACCGCTTCGTGAAGAAGAACGGCCAGTGCAATGTGCAATTTGCCAATATGGACGACAAGTCGCAGCGCTACATAGCTGACATCTTCACCACGTGTGTTGACATTCGCTGGCGATGGATGCTGATTGTCTTCAGTCTTGTGTTTGTTATCTCCTGGCTGGCCTTCGGGGTAGCCTTTTGGGTCATTGCTTTGCTTCATGGAGATCTGGATAACCCAGCAGGAGACGATAACTTCACTCCCTGCGTCCTACAGGTCAATGGATTTGTGGCTGCCTTTCTATTCTCCATTGAAACACAGTCCACTATAGGTTACGGCTACCGCTGCGTGACAGAGGAGTGCCCAGTGGCGGTCTTCATGGTGGTCGTTCAGTCGATCGTGGGCTGTATCATTGACTGCTTCATGATTGGTGCCATCATGGCTAAAATGGCGAGGCCTAAGAAGCGAGCACAAACACTCCTGTTCAGCCACAACGCTGTCATTGCCATGCGGGATGGAAAACTGTGTCTCATGTGGAGGGTTGGGAATCTGCGTAAGAGCCACATTGTAGAGGCCCACGTCAGAGCACAGCTTATCAAGCCTCGAATTACTGACGAGGGGGAATTCATTCCTCTGGATCAGATAGACATTAATGTAGGCTTCGACAAAGGATTGGACAGGATTTTCTTAGTGTCACCCATAACAATTCTCCATGAGATCGATGAGGAGAGCCCTCTTTTTGGGATCAGCAAACAGGACTTGGAGACGGCAGACTTTGAGATCATTGTCATCTTGGAGGGGATGGTGGAAGCAACCGCCATGACCACGCAGGCACGCAGCTCCTACTTGGCTTCCGAGATCCTCTGGGGTCACAGGTTTGAGCCGGTCCTGTTTGAAGAGAAGAACCTGTACAAGGTGGATTATTCTCACTTTCACAAAACCTACGAGGTCCCATCCACCCCGCGCTGCAGTGCCAAGGAAATGGTGGAGAACAAGTTCCTCGTGCCCAGCTCTAATACCTTCTGCTATGAGAACGAGCTGGCCTTCCTCAATCGGGATGACGAGGAGGAGGAGGAGGAGGAGGGTTTAGACGATGGGAGCAGGGCGCTGGCGAGTGTCAGTCCAGACAGGAACAGCCGACACGAGTTTGAACGCTTACAGGCGACGAGGGCGATGGATCAAAGATCATACCGGAGGGAGTCAGAGATATGACCCTCAACCGAGTGTCAGATGAAAAACGGTATTCAAGGATAAAATGCAGAACAATGCAAAGTGCCATAGGAAGAAAATCGAAAATTTACAGAAAAACAAACATTGCTTTAAAATGAGGGGAAGCAAAAGATGCACAGTTTTAAAATGTTAGAGAGGAATGTGTACAATCAAGAAAAAGGCTAACGAAAGACCTTCCTACACAAAAACTTGAATGTTTCTTTTGGTCATTTTGAGTTACGAGTGTTTAGCGCTATAAATCATCACCTTTCATGACAGAACCTTAGAATGAGTCTTAGCTGTAAATACATTTTTTTAGGTAAGCTGTTTTGTGTGCAGTTTCAGTTCCAAACATCACCTCTGAAAAGTAGAAGCTGCTGTTTTTAGCCACGAGTGACAGCGTTATCATTCGGATCGGCTGGATTGCTGTTAATTTGCTGGACAAGCACAAAGCAACACACTGAGAACACGACCAAGAACAAGCCATCGTAACAATATCTGACCACAAACCACTTGGAAAAAAATGAGAATAAACAGCTGTAGTTTATTTAAAATGTTCCAAAAAAACAATTTTAACAGATAAAATTACCTGCACTTTGAATATTATAAATAATGTATTCAACATCAGCCATGAAATGACATGAACCCTTTAATTGATCACTAAATGCCTCCTTTAAGTCATCAACGTCAGAGATTATTACGTAGAAAACTAAAACACAACACTGATAAAGTTAACTAAACGATATTTATGTTTTATAATCGTACAGAGAAACATAATACATTTGTGAGGCAATAAACTAAATAAGTTAAACTCACATTTTTATGCCGGCTGTTACAAAATCACTTAAAATGGAGACAAACTTGAACGAGCGGATCACATTTTTGTTCTTTTAAACATGAATCTATGCACACGTTATCCACATCAGGGGAAACATCTCATTGTGAGCTAACTGGAATAGAAATATGTAACGACAAAGCTTTAATCAACGCCCAGTGCTTAGAGGCAGAAAACAGCATAAAGTCAGTTTCCAGGTGTAGCCAATATATCAAATTAAATATATATATTTCGGCTGCTTCTTTCTTCAGGGGTCGCCACAGCGATCTAGCTCGCACGAAGACTTGGTGATTGTTTGTACGCTGGATGCACTTTCTGATGCAGCCACAGACCACCGAGCTACCACAGCCCTCTGTGCGGAGCAGAGAGCTGCAGTAGTTCACCCTGGGGGAGCAGATGGTGGGGGTTAGGGGCCTTGCTCAAAAGCCCAGAGTGGGGCAAATGAGGGAGGAGGCAGGTGTGGTTGTTTCACCTTGTCCACCCAAATTTTGATGCTGTCGGTCCAGGGAGTTGAGCCGGTGACCTTCTGATTACAGGCCCACCTTCTCTAACCTCTGCGCCACCACTCCCCCATATCAAATTTCTTAAAATAGTATGAAGGAAAACTGCAGGAATGAAAGAAGAATCCAAAACTCAAGGTGAACTGGAAAACTATTCTACTTATGAAATGACACCAGGCTAATAAGAGAAAAATCACAAAATGGTAATTAATCAGTCTAAAACCAGAATATTATAAAATTGCCCTTAGCAAAAAGTAGTTTATTTAAGTGTATACTTATTTTACACTAAAAATGAGGAAGTGTACTTGAAGTTTACTTTTTATAAACTTTATTTTATATACTTAAAAATAGTATAAAAATGTCCCAATTTAGTCCAAATAAGTATTAAATCAGTATACTTCTAGTACACTACAAGTATGGTGTATAGTATACTTGATATACTTATACTTAACTTAAAGTATACTTGCAAAAATAAACTTCAAATGTACGACTTTTTGTTCAGGGTGACCAGGAGCAAGTCCTGACTTTTTATTTAGTTGACATTTAGAGAGATCATATTTACCACCCTGATGTATGATTATTAGGAATCATCTCTTAAATTATAGTTGGCTGTCATTTGATTAATTGACAGTAATCACATTATTGATAAGAGGAACTATGGATGCCAAGAACAGATGAGACTAAAATATTTCTTTACGGAATTTTCTGGAGATCATGAGACGACTATTTTATTATCTCACTATAACCGAGCGTGTTTTTATCTCATTGCCAGGATAATTCAAGCTTTAGTTTCCTACAGTTAACTACACATTATATTGAAACAAAAAACATTTTCTGTTTTACCCACAAAGATGAAAATTAGTGGTTCTTGTTCTATCCACATTGCCATCATTTTCTCATGTTTAACTCTGGTAAATATTTATTTCATGTCACATTTTCAGCTAAAATCAGTTTATTTCACAACTATCCTGACTTTCCAATGAAAAAAAAATCATTTCATTTGATTACAAATTCAAAATAATTTGCATTTATCACAAGAAAACAAACATTTCTACATCTTATTACCTAAACGTATTAAATAATTTTCTCAAAAATTAATAAATAAATAGAAGAGAGGCTTTGTTAGTGTGAGATGATAACCTGCAACAAAAGATTATTTACAGCAGGATAAGCAGATAAATGACTTATCTCAAGGTAAGGCCATAAAATCATTATGTTTTAGCATTGCTGCCCTCATCTTTTATAAAAGACACAGGAAACAGAAAATGTACCGTATTTTCTGGACTATAAGGTGCATTAAGCGAAACAAAACAGTCAGAGAAGTCCAACTTTATTCAACTCATTAACAATAACCACATAAAATCAGTTCAAGATCAGTAAGCACAACCAGAATTAATACATAAGGTGCACCTGATTATAAGGCTCACTGTCAATTTTTGAGAAAGTTAAAGGATTTTAAGTGTGCCTTATAGTCTGAAAAATACGGTAATTAAAAAACGTGCATTTCTTTGTGTTTTGCAGCTGATTCTTTCACACTGTAGACGTGGAAATGTATCATATAAACAGTGACTGTACTGGAATGAGGTGTGAACTGAAGCAATAATCACTAAAGCACACGTTTTATTGCTCAGTTTTTTAAATCTTTAGTTTCCTGAATTAAAAAAAAAAACATCTTTATAAATCCAAAGAGGTGTCTGAAGAGAATGAGTTAGTCATGTTTGTTTTTTCTTTATCATAAATTATGATTTAACATATTTGAAACCAAAGTAACATAAAGTCCCATATTTACTCTTCGAGGTGAGTTTTCCCTCAATAATCTTCCAAAACCAGTTGGTTTAATCTCGATGAAATGAGTATCGTTGTTTTAATGAAATCCCCAGTTTCAAGATAATCCCTGTGCAGATTATGATCAAGAAGTTCCTCTAATGAAATAAATGATCAAAACGAATGCAGCTTAATTTGATTTAACAGTAGAACAACGCAGGCAGCACGGTGGCACAGTTGGTAGAGCTGCCGCCCCTCAGTGAGAAGGTTGCCAGATCAGCGGCTTGAAATATTATCAGCCCATTAAATTGCCGTTATTAATTGTTATCATCCCCATTGGTGGCGTTCAGACTGTCCCTCCTACCTCCTATAGTAGGTTTAAAGGTATGTTCTTATCGCTGATAATATTCATCTTCGCACTCATCTAAAACCTGAAGTTGTTTTTTTTTTGTTAGCTTTTCCTAAACCTAACCTTACACCTGACCCAGAGCACTGACCCTAAACTTAACCCCCTGACCCTTGACTCTTAACCTAACCCTGACCCTATTATCAGCGATAAGAACGTACCTTTAAACCTACTAGGAGGTACAGGAGGGACAATCTGAACGCAACCTATGGGGATGATAACATCTAATGACGGCCAGATCAAATCCCAGTCCAGGGGCCCTCTGGGTGGAGTTTGCATGTTCTCTCCGTGCATGTGTGGGTTTTCTCCAGGTACTCCAGTTTCCTCCCACAGACCAAAAACATGCATGTTAGGCTGATTGGAATCTCTAAATTGTCCCTAGGTGTGAGTGAGAGAGTGAATGGTTGTTTGTCTCTGTGTGTCCCTGTGATGGACTGGAGACCTGTCCAGGGTGTCCCCCAACTCTCGCACAGTGACTGCTGGACATGGGCACCAGTGACCCCCGTGACCTGAAAAGAAAGTACGGTAGTAGTTAAAGATAATGGATGGTTTAACAAAAATGCATGAAAACATTTTTTTCCTGGCAAAGACAAAGCTCCTTTATTATTATTATAATGCAGATGTCTGCTCATTTAATAATGTTAATATAAAAATATCCATTATGTCCAGTTTGTTTATTTGAACCCCATGACCCTATAAAGCAATTCTAAATACATTGCTACACATTAAATAGATAATATGTGCAGAACAAAACTAGCTGAATATGAGGAGAACCATAAGAATGGTTGCTTTGTTGGTCACAATGACTAATATTTTCCTAATGGATTGTTGTAATAGATATATGTTGCTCCGTAAGAACTTTACAGGATGTAGAAACGTTTGCGTTGATATTTTTCTGATATTTGAGGCTTTCTTCACCCAACCTTGAACATGGAAAGTGTTCATTACCTTCTGAGAAGGCGGTGTGCACAAAAGACTAAAATATTTGCACATATCTCTCAAATTTCAGTGATAATAAAGGTAACGAGAGGTAAGAACCGCATTGCTGGAATGCACAATTCAAGCGTTTAGTGTTTTCAAGGATGGTTTTAGCTTTGATGTTGTGCCCTTAAAAAAAAAAAAAAAAAAAGCAAGCTCCAAAGTTTCAGCAAAGTATAAAAGTTTATACAGGAAAAAGAGTAGTTCTATACAAAATGATCCAAATGAGCAGCACAGCTGAGCAAACCAGCTTATTTTTATATAAGGTTCTTTTTGATAGAAAACAGCAATAAATATTTATCTGTTTATACAAAGTATATTAAAATAAAATCGTTACTGAGTCCTCTGAAAGATAGAAATCTTGTTCCTATCTACGTTTTCCACTGTTTAATTTCTGCTCTTTATTTTCTGCACAGAAGTGAATAATTAAACAGGTATTTCTCTTAAAGGGATGATTGGGACAAAATCGACCTTTGACCTCTGTAGAAGTCTTCCTATGTCCAGCTAAATGTCTGCTGGG